TTCACTTTCAGTCTATAAAAACCACCCGTTTCAACCTTTAGAATCGTTCCTAGCTTCAGTTTTCCCTTGTTTTCTTTGTCTATCATTTTAATGATCAGCCTGCTGTCTATATTTTCCACAATAAAAAAACACTTCGGGTGACTTTCATATTAATTACGTCACAACGTAAGGAGGAGCCGTGGAATGAGTTATGCCAGGACCTGGATGCAACTATTCGTGTTTGACGGATATCCGTATTGCATATCCGAAAAATTGAAGGAGATTTGGTTTTTCTTGAGCTCACAACAAAGATTTACATTTACACGGCGCGTCACTTGGATTTTTTAGTGAATTTTCGTTTCGATGAGCGGATTTAGTCGGCCGAATTAGGTCAAGATTATGATTAAGGGAAATTTAAGGACGATTTGAACGCATCATTATCAAATGTATACAGTTTTTACGAAACTCGACCTTAACTTAAAGCAGTTCAACCTCGAAAATGTATCCTGTCGTGAGATTACTATCATTTGTCTCTGAAAAAATGCACAATACGGACGAAAGTATATGGCGGTTTTCGCAAATTTCATGGGTGATCTTTTCTATCTTTAATGAAAATCTAAGAGTTTTTTACTGTTAGTTACTTACTGTAAAGTTTTACAATTTTTGCGGTGGAAAATCATGCTAATTAGCTATAAGTCCGTTTTTTTAATGCTGCGTCTTAATGCGACTGGAATCACATACCTTGGCTGAAGTAAGTGCCATAGCTGGTGTCTCCTCCAGAAGTGTATCAGACACTTCTCGATTGGAATATTCAGACTAATAGTCAGGCGAGAGTTCTTCCAACGGATGCTCATTCGAGGTGGTAGATTCAGGTGTTGAAGCTGAAGTGCTTGCGAGCTGCGATTCCCTCCTTTCTTTCTGCTGCAAACAAGCAGTTTTTGTACAGTCTTTTCCGCCGATCGTCTTTTTTCGAAGTCCCCGTTGGTCTTTCAGGAAATCTCTCTCCCTTTCTGGAACCTTTTTATTTTCGGAACACAAACACTCGTCAAAACTTCTGCACTTACACGAGCAGATATCGAGCAGTTTTTCGGTCTGCTTTTTAAAGTCTTGGATTTTTTTCGCAACCGCCTTAGACTTGTCTACTTTATTCAAACTTTTCATAACAACCCCTAACTTTCCGTGAAACCGGATTATAACTAATTTGACGTAGCTCTCGGAGCAAGTCGGGATGGACGCACGACACCAAATTTCCAGAACTTTTGCCGCGACTCGAGCGGCGATCCGATGCACCGTCGGTTCTCGATTCCTATGTTCCGCCTTCCACATTTCACGGGTATAAAGAAAGTCTTTCATCACATCAGTGTACGTCGGCAGAGTATTTTCTTCCATTTTTGCAGGCGCACCAAAGATCGCGTGTCCCGCACCACTGCGCGTTATCTTTTTCGCCATGAGCACCGATGTTCCCGATAATGTGAGCCGGCCGTTTCGAAGCGACAACTGAATTTAGGGTCCGTCGAGTTACAGAGGCGACACTCCGAGATCCGAACGCTAAGAGACTTGAGCAAAAACTGATTACGATGAAGGAGCAGGACGTCCAGTTCGGTGCAGACTGCAGACAAACGTACGGACACAATATTTGGACTTTGCCCATGAGGTCTCCAATATCTGGGATAAGTGTAAGCTCAGGACGCGGAAATTCCTGTCGCTGCTGCACCTGCATCGACTGGGCAACCGGCGCGCGCGGCGCCGGGCTCGCGGCGTTGGGTTTCCCCGATTCGACCCCTGACGGTCGAAACTGGCGTCAAACGGCCGTGGCGTGTGCGGAGACTCCATTTCAGTGCTCCGCTGGAGAAAAGGGCGTATTTCTATTTTCGCATGAGCCCCACAAAGCATGGATTTACTTGTGAAACGGGGCTTAAGTGGAAATTGTGATACGATCTTACGTCTAAGGGGTGACGATTCGTGGTTCGCGCGAGCGCACAGTAGATCGAGTCAATAGGAGAGGTCCGACAAAATATGGAAGCTTCAAAGCCGGTAACTCCATTTATACAAAACTTTTAGGTCTTAAAGGTGGTTCTATTCGTTTTCTTCTGAAATTTGCTTCTGTATGCACCTCTTGGAATTTGAAATGTGACGAATTAAACATAAAATTTTACAGTTTTAGTCAAAAATTTTGTGTGCGACCTCTCTATTTGACTCGATCCACTGTGAAACGCCTTGCCCAACCCTTTTTTCAGTCTTTAAGACTGAAAAAAGGGTTTTTCACTTACAATTCCTTGTCGGATAAGATTTAGTTGGTCATCGATGCTCCATCCATCCATGCTTTACGCTTTCCTAATGAACCAGTGGACAAAGTGCCTTTTCTTCAGATTTGATTACTCAAAATTAATCAAGGAAAGCTCATTTTATTCGTGCGAATCTCTTTAAATTCACAACCGCTTTTGAATAAGTTGCGATCTAGTAAATGACGACTCTTTCAGTTTCGCTTCAGAATACGATGACCGAAGCAAAAGACTTAAAATTCACAATCTGATCCACCCGTCTGCGCTCTCTTCTTTGAAATAAGACGCACAGACCAAAAAAAAATCTTATCATTATTTCAAAACGATATTCCTCGGTTTTTTCGAATTTGCGGCTCGATTTAAAACCGAAAATTATGAACTTTTCGGTAAACATCATTCCACAAGGCAACTCACAATGGATACAGAAGAGCGCCTTCAAATCAATCCATAAGCTTAATGCAAAATTCTGATACCACTATTCGTGCGTCACGCCAGTCATTTTGCATACCCGGCCATTTGAAGGCGAATCATTGACTTCAGGCAACGGGGTACGAATTACGGGAGCTGGCCACCTGGCCCCTAAGGAGTCTCAGCCGGGGCTCGCCCCCCTGAACCCTAAGGAGCCTAAGCCGGGGTCGCCCCCCTGAACCCTAAGGAGCTTAAGCCGAGGCCAGCCCCCTGAACCCTAAGGAGCCAAAGACTGGGGCCAGCCCCGTGAACACTAAGAAGCCAAAGCCGGGGGCCAGCCCCTTAATCACTATGGAGCCAAAGCCGGGGGCCAGCCCCCTGAACCCTAAGGAGCCAAAGCCGGGGGCCAGCCCCCTGAACCCTAAGGAGCCTAAGCCGGGGCTCGCCCCCCTGAACCCTAAGGAGCTTAAACCGAGGCCAGCCCCCTGAACCCTGAGGAGCCTAAGCCGGGAGCCAGCCCCTTAATCACTATGGAGCCAAAGCTGGGGGCCAGCCCCCTGAACACTAAGGAGCCAAAGCCGGGGGCCAGCCCCCTGAACCCTAAGGAGCCAAAGCCGGGGGCCAGCCCCCTGAACCCTAAGGAGCCTAAGCCGGGGCTCGCCCCCCTGAACCCTAAGGAGCTTAAGCCGAGGCCAGCCCCCTGAACCCTAAGGAGCCAAAGACTGGGGCCAGCCCCCTGAACACTAAGAAGCCAAAACCGGGGGCCAGCCCCTTAATCACTATGGAGCCAAAGCTGGGGGCCAGCCCCCTGAACACTAAGGAGCCAAAGCCGGGGGCCAGCCCCCTGAACCCTAAGGAGCCTAAGCCGGGGGCCAGCCCCTTAATCACTATGGAGCCAAAGCCGGGGCCAGCCCCCTGAACCCTAAGGAGCCAAAGCCGGGGGCCAGCCCCCTGAACACTAAGGAGCCAATGCCGGGGGCCTGCCTCCTGAACCCTAAGTAGCCAAGGCCGGGGGTCGCCCCCCTGAACCCTAAGGAGCCTAAGCCAGGGGTCGCCCCCCTGAACCCTAAGGAGCTGAATCCGGGGCTCGCTCCCCTGAACCCTAAGGAACCTGTGCCGGGGGTCGCCCCCCTGAACCCTAAGAAGCCAAGGCCGGGGGTCGCTCCTCTGAACCCTAAGGAGCTTGAGCGGGGGGTCGTCCCCCTGAACTCTAAGGAGCCTAAGACGGGGGTCGCCCCCCTGAATCTTAAGCATCCAAGACCGGGGGTCGCCTCGCTGAACCCTAAGGAGCCTAAGCCGGGGCCCGTAGATATATTAATTTCTACTCGACCGGATGTATGCCCCAATCGAAAAGTTTACTTAATTGGATATTGACCCCACCGGAAATGCTTTCCAACCCAAAATTTGGTTGTTCTCGGATGGAGATCAACCAATTTCAATACCAATATATATTTTTTTTCGTTAAAAAATTGATTATTCGATATAAGCAAGTAATATATCTGGTCGTTAAAGTTAAACATCGATTCTAACAGAAAACATGTGTACGTGTCGGTGTACTACAATTATATCCGGTGCATTTAGTCATCAATGAATCAAAATTAACAATTTCAATCTCAAAAAATCTTCGGTTCCCCGTAAAGAATCTTTAAAAATTGATATCACCGATCGATACACGACTCGTCAACATTAAAACTCGATTTTGCGTGTAAAAATACGTAGGATCCAGTGTTTAGAACATATGTAAACAATGATAACAACCCTATGGACACATCTAACCAACAAGAAAATAGCGAAAAATACGGCCGGGTTTTGATCCCTTTGCCCATCCGTAACTCGAAAACGGTTCCTATACTCATGTTGAAATTTTTTTCTGAGTTTTTTGTTGTAATTAGCTTTCACTTACACCTTGGTTCGACGGTCGAATCGAATACCGAAAAGGGGGCGAGAATAAGCCCTTATTTTGGGAGTCTCTTCATCGAAGTTGCTGTGTCTGTTTAAGCGAGCCGCCTGGCTGTTCTCTGTCTCTCTCGCACACCCAAACATCCCGCCAGGCGATTTTCCATCTCTCTCGCACACTTAAGCGTCTCGCTAAAAGGGGCAACCGAGGTGAGGGTGCAACCTCTGTCAGAGGGGCGCGGGAGAATCGATGCGCCTTTGCCCTAAAACAACTCAAGTCCCGCCGGGTGATTTTCTTTCCCTCCCGCACTTATACGCGAGACGCTTGGCTATTTTCTCTCGCACACTTAATTCGTACATACGTCTGTAACTTTTAATGCAGAATTATTGTTACATGTTGCACTTTTTAATCGAGTGTCCTCTTTTCATTTTCAGATCCAGACTACAAACTGTGGGATATAATTCACAACGTAAGTCTTTTGAAGTAAATATTTTATAAAGTCAGAACATTTAAGACTATGCTTATACTTCATTTTGATTGACTTCATTATATCATCACGTTTCGGCAAAAAAAAAAAAAACTTCAATTACACCCTGAACGACTGAAAGAATGAGCGATTTTAAGTCAAAGACAGGTGATTTCTGTAAAGCACATATTCATTATATTAATACTATTTATAGCTCCTTCACTTATCTGCGTAGGGAAAGTAGTGCTATATACAACGTTCCGACTGTGAGCTAGGAATATTTGCCCCGTACAGCAAAATGCTGTCCAATTATTGCTCTTGTGTGCTTATTCCTAATTTTCTAAAGAGAATTTCGCTGCATTTGAAGTCTCGACTTTAGTGCCTTTTTTTATTAGCTTGATACGTAAAATCATGGACATCATAGTGCCCCTCACAAAACTCACTTAAAATCAGTTCCTATGAGGAACAAGCCCTTGACTTTTGCTAGAAATGGAGAATTTGCTTGCGAATTTTTTATTCCTTCATCTGATAGTGCTTAAAGAGCTGATTTCACAGTATTTTTTTATAATTTTTTTCTGATATGGGAAATAGTATAAAAATAGATTTAAAAGTGAGAAAATGCACCGCCCAGTGCCGTCATCTGGCGACATTTCACATTTAAACACACTAGTTTTAGCAGATTAGATCATTTTGTCATACCTTCTCCAATAATTGTTCAATTCATGAACCCAGGGTATCCTCGTGTTCAGTTCAATCGGTAGTTTCCACTTAAACACGAAATTTATCAAATTTTAGACAAAATGACAATTCAAATTCTCTACTCATCCATCGATAAATAATTCAGTTTGAAATTCTTAATATAATAGCAATAATTAGATGAGCAACGCTCACAGTCAAAATTGATGAAGACAAATCGCGCTAATTAAGGCACGCACTGAAGTTTCAAATTGAAATATCTCAGCAATGAGACGGATATTTCACAGCGAGAAGGCAAGCTTAGAGAAGAGCGAATTAAGTGTCGCGTAAAGGAGTTTCGGCAGTGGCTAAAAAGCAGTAATGAGAATTGACATTCAGTTGCCAAAGGTTGAGTTCTCACCCCCGGATCACCATTCAAAATTCTGGGAATGGATCGCGGATCGTGCAACGTTGGCGCTCAATCATCGGAGAATGTTAAAACGTGGCCTCCTGTATTTCTTCCGGGCTCCGAACTTCAGGGCTTTACAATTCTCGGCGGTGCAGGGGAAGCCGCCGAAAAGTTCTCGCAGGCACTTTCACTGGGATGTTCGGCACAGATCTCATCATACGCGTTCCAAAACCGCGCTTAACCGTATAACTCAGCGCCAAGCGTAATATTTATCCGTCAACCAATTTGCCGCTGGGCAACCAGCAGTTCACGTCTCAGTCTCAGGAAATCTCGAGGCAACAACCCCTCACCTCCTTGCGACCGGCACACACGGGACCGAATTAATACGAGGAGTCGGACGAAAACTGGAATGTTTTTTTTTTGGCTTATATTTGCAAAAATGGACGTATTTATGCTAAAAGAAATTGTGTGCAAGTGGAAAGATGGAGTGTGCTCGTGGAGGGTGCATAAGAAACAATGTAACAGTAGATATCGTTCCTTTTGAGAAAATTGAAAAGCGGGATTTTCAATCAAATCAAAAGTAACTGAGTGCTAACTCGTGAGCCGTGAACATGTGACAAGAGCCTTGTGGACAGGGCTCATGAGTTAAAGAGTCCAGCCACCGATCTCCCTGACGTGCCTCCTCGTACTTTTCCGCTGACGTCACTGGCGCTTTTAAAGCCCCATTCATTCTTATGGCCCGAGCACTAACGAGGACACCCCATCTTTCCACTTGCACATAGTTCCATTTAGCATAAATACATCCAATCAATAGGAGGAGTCGGACAAAATCTGGTCAGTTTTTCTTGCTTATATTTGCAAAAATATAAGGATAAAGTTTAGGAGTGGTTCCATTGGTTTTTTTTTTCGTGAAATTTGCTTTCTGAAACACCCTATGAAATTGAATTTGTTACCAAATAAACATGAAAACTTGAAATTTTAGCCAAGGATTTCATGCTCGACCTCTTCCATTAGCTCGTTCCACTGTGTGGCATCTCGTTTGAACTCATTGCATCCGCGTGCGAACTGTTATTAATTGAGAAGTCGCTATCACTCATGCTCACTTTTCTAACTTTCCCCAGAAGGCTGATTATTGGAATTGATAAACGAAGAAGACGCAGAGAAAATCCTATTGGCGGAAGCCGATGGTAGCAGTGGTAGTACCGGATAAAAGACAGGCTAACTAACGGCGACCCATAAGAGACCATACACTAAAGAAAAAATGAAACTAATTTTTTTTTACAAATGTTGATTAATGTTTTACAAATAGTGTGTTTAAATCCAAGATTGGGACGCCTTCAATTTCAGTGATACCTCCAGCTTCACTGGAAGGTTAGTTTAGTTGCGTGACCTAACTTAACTCCACCTGACTTTGTTGCGACCAGTTCCCGAGCTTTATGACCGATCAGAATAATTTAATTCGGGCTGATTCAATCGCGGCAAAGACAAAATTTGTTCTAAATTTTGTTTTGACGTAGGGAAAATGAAACTACTTTGGTGCCCAATTTGACACAAGTAGACTTTGTTTTTTTTAACCAAGCGGTAAGTTTGAAGTATTGGACACTTAAATGCTAATTCCTCCGTCATGAGTTGCCTTCGAATGTTCGTACGGTGTTTTCCCTTAGCATGGCAGTGCTACACTGCGCTGTCGGATAAAAAACACTGTGTAGGGTTCATACCATCGGATCAGACTGCTGCATGATTCTTTTTCCAGTTGGTAATTACCAACCACTGAAAAGTGATTTAATCAGGATCACAAAGTGCATTCGTCATTTAATTAACGTTTTACGATTAACTTTTGCGTAATATTGAACGATTCGTTTTTAGCAAAGACAATTATCCCCGAGGAGTTACTGAATAATATGATCCTGTAAACTTTTCAAGAGGAATGACACGTACAATATATTTCAAAATCAGGCATACGCGTCGAGAACACATTTATTTGATCTATACGTGACCTTCTCGTCACGTTTATCTGTCAATTTTGCAGATAAGTTGGGGCGTTTGCGAAAGCGAAAAACGCAAAGGAATTCTCGCGAGAGGAATTATTTTTTTTTTAGGATAGGGGCTTTCCACCCACCTCTTCAGTCTTTATGTCGCGCGTTCGTTTCGTTGGAGCAAATGTGATATTGGAGTTAAGCTTTGTCATTGACAGCTCTTGTCGCTCTTCTCAATTGGACGTATTTCTGCCGAACGGAACTATGTGCATTAAGACATGAGCCCTGAGGCCCATAAGAATATGTGCGTAACAGGGCTCACGTCATAATGCACGTAGTTCCGTTTTGCGGAAATACGTCCAATTGCCAAGCTACGTAGGTAAAATATGTTTTTTCACGTTTGGCTGTCCTCAAGGATGGATGGTTCAGACCCAAGCTGCCGTGCTATGCCGTCATGCTGAAGAAGAACGCCGTATGAGCCGTCAGACGTTGCCAAGTTTCCTTCGATAAAAACCGAATTTAATGAAAAAATTGTAAATTTTTCCCCCCAAAATGTTCTGACTATTTTGCACGCAATTTAATCTAACATATCTGAACATTTAAAAGAAACATGTGCATAAATATTGTCAAAAATACAAGTCTTATCAAGGGAAATTTGGCAACTCTCGAATGTTCATGCGGTGTCTTTCCTCAGCACGGCAGTATGGAAGGACCCCGAATATCTCCTCGCGAACGCGACATTTACAGAGAGATATTCTTAACTTGCCACTCCCTCCCCTCCGTCCATCAACAGCGACTTAATTTTTTTCGGATAAAAGAAATAATATCTCATTCGATGGGCTTGGAGAACGAGGCGCATTAGTGCAGTTTTTGCTATTGCGAGGAATATGTGTTAGAAGTTTTGACATTGCATGAATCCATGTGGCGGAGAGAAAGTTCTAACTGACTTTCTGATGCTTAAAAATTGGGATTTGGGGGCGAATTTTTCACAGAATGTGCGGTAAGGTTAGCTTTACTTGAAATCATTAATATCTCAATTTTTTCAAAAATGTATTTATGCGCCTTGTCCTTTAAGCCCCTCATTCAAAGAGATTTGTCAACTTATATATTTGAAGGACAGAGAACCAAGGTGCAACTGATATTCCCTAAGAATATCAACTAAACGTAAAATTGACTCAAGACCGTGAAGTGAGAGTAACGGTGAAGCAGCTAAGGGTTTGAGGGTTGAGGGGAAGTAGTCAAAAAGGGCTCCTCCTAATCTTGAATAATCACTTTCTCCACTATACATGAGTAAAACTATGGAGATCATCTGTACTCTCATGTTCACTCGGTCAATATACGCTGGTCGCGAAGCGAACGCCGGAGAAAACGCCTTCAATTTAGCGTGTATACCACAAACCTACACCCACGTTCAAATAGTCGCATCCTCAGCCTTAGAGTTGATTCCTATATACGGTATTGAAGTCTTCGCAGCTGTAACCAGTGACCAACGCTGCCGGGCTAAGAGAGAACGTCGTATGAGCCTTCCGACGTTGTCAAAGTTTCTTTTATAAAATGTGATCTTCTCGCAAATCTGTGAATATTTTTCTTCCAATTTTTCTGAAAATTTGATTTGCAATCGAATCTTAATTATCTGACGATTTCAAGAGAAAATATGTTCATAACTCTCCTTTAAAATAAAACATTTTATCGGAGGAAATTTGGCAATTCTCAATGGTCTTATGTCGTTTTTCCGCAGCACGGCAGAAGGAGGCAGATGTTCCAAGGAAGCTACCTATTTTTTTCGAACCAGGTCTAGAAACTGGACCTTAAGTTTTTTCTTCACGTCATACACTCAATTTTGTTTTTTTTTTTAAAAAATTTTTTGATCGGAACGTCTTGAATTAATTTGTTTTCTCAATATCTAAATTGTTTCATACTTTATACTTTTAAAAGAATACATT